GTGTAAATAGACCAAAAGAGAGTATGTTCTAGTCTATGATTGCTTTATTTGTTTCCTAGTGGTACCATTCAATTATGATTGATTTTTAGAAGATTTAGAAAACACAAGAAGTTTCAACAAGTGTTGCAATAGGTGTTCAGTTGCAAGTGGAGTCAATTAGTTAGCTTACCCAATCACGATGGTCATCGGAGTAGTTTTGATCTTAACCAAGGTTTGCACCCATCCTCATTGAAAAATGGGTCCGTTCTCGTAGCCCGGAAAGAGATGGTGGTTTTGTTTTTAGCTAAGGTTCACTTCTAGCCTGAAAGAAGAGTAGGTTTGCGCTCTCAGCCCATAGAAGAGCAAGACTAAATCGTGGTGAGATACATGACAAAAATTTTCAGTCAATGTGGAGCCTTGAAGGACAACAAGATTGAGGCAAGATGTGTTATTCAATTCAGTTACCATGGAATACGTTGATTGAAATGATGGAATTTGAGCCAAGGTGAAGATTATTAGGATAATGTCTCAATTATATTATAATTAGGTTTCTATTTTAGAGTCATATTTTATTGGGTAATTTTTTGAAAACATTGGACTTTTAGGAATTGTAATCCTTGTCGAACAAAGAGTTGAGGTTTGGGCTCGATAAATAGTTACGTAGGCTATTGTTGAGAGGTATGTATAGAGAGACATGTAGCCCGTAAGTGTAACCCTGCGAGGGTGTGAGTACAATGGGTAGAGAGAATTTACAAATGTTGTAATATCATTAAAGTAGAAGTTCCTCATCCATGGGTATAGCCTTGAGTTTTGGTGAACCATAATTCTTGGAACGACCATTTACATTCCCTAAAACTGTATTGACCAGAACATGCTTTGTGCTAGATAAGAGCTTATGCAGATGGGGCACTAACACCTGAAAAAGGAGAGAAAATAAACCCTCACGGTTGGTCTAGTCGATACAACCTGGGTTCGATTATCATGAAGCACAAAAAAACTCGAGTTCCGAGAGTTCAAATGGCTATTGGGTGAGTTGATTCTTAACCATCAATTTAACAATAGATCCAGCCTAGTCTTGGAAAACTACACCACCCCTACCAATACTTATCTGAGATGAGTGTGACGCGTCACTGTTGCATTTAAATCACACCAAACGGAGGGGGATTGCCATGAAATGTTAAGGGAGACTGGGACTTGTAGATTGATGCGCTTGAGATATGAAATTATGGGCATCATAAAATTTTCACAAAGAACTTGCTTTTTGCACCGCAGTACTTGGGGTCCAAAGTTTACCTTCATTAATCAGATGGTTCCAAGTTCGCCAAATTGCTCATCAGTAAAAAGCGACAAAATTTAGGGTCTGTTTAGTTTAACTCTGAAAAGAGTATTTTCAGATAACTAAAAATAAAAATATTGTACAAATTTTTATTTGGTTAAGTATTTTGGAAAATGTTTTTTGAAAACTCATTTATAAAAATTTTTTTTTTTTTTAACTATTTTTTTATAATTATCTGAAAATAATTTTCTGTTTTCTTAATTGTTTGAGAACTAATTTGATAGTTTGCAAGCCCTAAAATTTTAGCTTTAAATGCTTTAGAACCTTCGCCTAAGGATAAGGTTGTCGACCACTCCAAAACAGAAATAAACTTGTGCCGAGCATAAATCAAAATATTGTCTCTAGCGTTCAAGTGGGGGCTTTCTTCTACCGAAAGGGTTAGGTGTACATGTTCTAGTGTGTATGTTAGGACATTATTTATTTATTTATTTATTTATCCTTTGTTTTTAGTGATACTTAAATTACATTGTCAAACTCCGTCTTTGAATGTGACAAAATGTATTTGCCAACTCCGTCGAGTTGCATCGAATTTGACTGTTGTCAAGGAGAATCCATCATCGAGACTATAAAAGCTTCGAGTGTCTTTCTTTATCCACTTCGTGTCATTGTCTTCCACTATACCAACATTCTCTCACTCCCAAACTTAACTTAGAGATGAACATAAAAAATCCATCACTTCATTCCAAAACCCAGATCAACGACAAGAAGCCATTTCGATCTGACAGACTCAGTCCGTTGGATTGCAACGATGATCCGGTCCCATATGAGGATAAACGGAGCAGAGTTGATTTATCAGAAGTTAAAAACGATGAAGATTGGCTTCGTTAATTAATTGTCACTCCCAAGTGAGGCAACCAATTTAAAACCAGTGGTTGTTGAGGAGGAAATATTATTTTGAGATATCTCAGTCGCTGTAACAAGCTCCATGTCCAGTGATGGTGGATTGAAGAGAGTCATGATGTCATTCAGAAAGAAAAAAAATTAAAAATTAAAAATTAAAAATTAAAAAAAAAACCTTCACCCATGAGAAGACGAGAAATGCCCATCTTCAAATTTTATTCACTTTAAACATATGTTTATATTTTATTATCCCACGTAGCTATGCAGGGAGGATAAAGTTGATCCTCCTAGGGAGGACCCAAGCATCATCCATATTAAAATACTCGAGATCTATCTAACACAAGAATTAATCCGAGTTTTCAATTCTTTCTCACCAAAATGACAAAATCTACAATTATATTGCAGCGGCTACAAGTGTTTGCTTCTATTATATATTTTGAAAAATTAAAAAAAAAAAGACAATATTAAAAAAAATAATGATATTACATATAAAAAGAAAAAGTACATTACATAACTTCCTACCAATAAAATAATACAATTCAGAAAAATAAATAAATAAATAAATAATACAATAATACTTTCCCACATGTAAAAAAATAATAATAAAATAAAAAATAAAAAATTACAATTAATTGCATCTTTGTAAAAAAAAAACATTAATTAAATACTTAAGTAAGCTAAATGATTCTTTTTTAATTAATTAAATTACAACTCTTTTAAAATTATTTATTTAATTGATACAATACAATACAATACACTATAAAAAAAATATTTACAATAAAATTTAAATATATATATATATATAATAATAATTATTATTATTTTATATACCACCACACACCATTACTTTTCTATTTTTCTTTTTGGGTAAGTACAACAACACCTCCCGAGGTTTACTAAAAAACACATAGATAAAACTTAACTTATTTTGGAACAAAGACACCCCCTCAAGTTTGATAGAGTTACTAAAGACAAACCAAAGTAATGAATTGACATTTTTATCATTTGACTTTAAAATTGACAAATTTGAATATTAAAATGACCTTTTTAACCTCTGCTCACAAACCCTTCCTTTTCCCACGTCTTCGTCTTCTCATCTCGGTCGGAGCAATTTCTTTCACCGTCGCCAACGACCACCACTTTCACACCGGCACTGTCGCATTTTTCTTTCTGGCAACGATTTTAAGTGCAAGCATAACGAACCCATAAACATCAGATTTTTGACTGGCAACCTCTTTAACGACGTCGTGAAGAGACAGTTCCCGTCATCCTTCACTGTCCTAAACAGTAAGAAAATTGATTACCCAATTGAGGAGAGAAGATGGAGCTGAGCCGGCAAGGAGAGGAGTCCACGGCCAACCTCGGTGACGCCGATGGGCTTAATTAGGGCTGAGTGAGCGCAGCCAAAGGTGAAGTTTTGGAGAACCAGCGCCGACGATGACATGGGTATCAATAAACTATCGCTATACAGACTAGCAACGAAGCTTCCTTCACCGTAATTGTAATAGAATGATGGGCAAGAGAAGGAAGCACAATCCGATATCTCGATTGTTTCCTATGGGCATCGAGTTATGGAACAGAGATCGAAAGAGGGAAGAGAAGAGTGGTCGGTTGCTTAGACGGCCGGTTCTTCTCCCACTGGTGAGTAGAGAGAGAGAGGGTTTGTTAGATTGAGCATCACATGACATGCCCGGTGAATAGAGCAATGATCAATTGCATGAACAAAACCCTAAAACCCAGGAAAAAATTGTTTACCAACAAGACAAGATTAAGCAAAAAATCTAAATCAGACCCAAATTTTCCGTTCTAATTTTACTAAACTCCAATGAAAGAAACAAACAATGGCCAAAAAAATCAAAACAAAAGCCCTAAATAGAGACCTTCTTTGATATCTAAATTCTCAGTCAACCAAACCCTTACCAGAAACAACCAACAACATACACCAATGCCGTGAAAAGATGCAAGAAATCTAAGCAATACCCATTTGACAGCAATGGCAAAACCCATCAATGAGAAAGACCCACCATGCAAAAACTCACCATTAGAATTAGAGTTATTGAGCAATGAAAGAAGCGGAAAAGAAGGATGAAAAAGGTTCATTCTGACATAGAAAAATATCACCATAAAGGAGGATAGGGTGAGAGAGAGAAGAAGGCAATTGCGTCTTTTTATTATATCTAATATTTTATAATAAATCTGATTTTAATATTATGGGTAATTTCGTATTTCAGAAGATTTAAGGTTTTGTTTGGATAGAATTTCATATAAGGGGTGTCTATGTCCCAAAATAGGCTAAATTTCATCTATGTATCCTTTTGAAAAACCTTAGGGGATGTTACTGTACTTTACCTTTTCTTTTTATATCATTTATTGGACAAAGGCCCACATTTTTAATTACTATGGCGCCACTTGATTCTACACATTCATCAAGTATAAATTTTTTTGGTGGGCCCAAGTGTGGAATCCCCACACCAAAGAGTCATTCCATCGCCGTAGAGTTGAACAATATACAAAGAGCAATGCTTGGATCTTGCCCTATTAGGACAAGTTTTGTCCTCCACCCTGATGTGGCCCTATGAAAACTTGACACCTGTCCAAAAAAATAAAAATAGATCATACTGGATCAAATTGGTTACCTGGGTATAATCCATAAGAGAAACCCATTTACTCTCTCATTCAGTCCTCCTCTTTTCTTTTCTTTTTCTTTTTTTTTTTCTTTCTAGAAAGTCTTTTTTTAGTCCTTTCATCTTCGCTGAACCAGCCCATTCATTTTTGGCGGTCACCATTCTGAATCCTCCATTCCACCGGCTGAGTTCAGCCCACCTTGCCGCAAGTCAGCCGCGGTTCATCCACAGCCGAGCTTCTCCTTGCCAGCCGGTGCCGTGTCGCAAACCCACTGCCGTTTAATCTCACCAAGCACCACCGCAAGCCCACTACCATTTTCATCCTCATAGGTCTGCCATCGCCACCGCCAGTCAGATTATTCATGGTCAAGTTCTCTACATTCGAGCTGTCCTCAGCCGAGCCGTCCTTCCCACCGTCTAAAGTTAGCCTGTCACCGCCGCTGTAAGTCTGTCGCACCCATCACGGCCGCTATCATCCAAAGCCGAGCCCTCCATCGACAAGCTCACCGCCGACCTCTCAGTTGCCTCCATCCTTGTCTGGTTCATCTTGTCTAATCTCAGCAGCACCCCACCTTCACTGCCCAATACGACCAATGATTGTGGAGATGTAGGTGGCGAGATCCCGTCGGAGCCGCCGAGTTCAGACCAAAGCTTTAGCAAAAAAAAACCTATTTGTCACGGGTTAATCCAAATGCTTTTCTTTTTTTTTATATTATACAATATTAAAACAGTTGTCAAGTTTTCATAGGGCCACATTAGGGTGGAGGACAAAACTTGTCCTTATAAGATAGGATCCAAGCATTACTCATATACAAATAGGGGATGCGGATGTCTAATGGGCTACTACTCTTCGAATGTATGTCTTGAGTACTTATCTAGTTACATGGGCAGAAAATACAAGGAAAATCAGAAAAGTTTATTTATTTATTTTTATTATTATTTTGTTACATGGAGCGAAACATGATAGGCCACCAAAAAAAAAAAAAAATCTATCCATCTTGTAAAACCCTGTAAAAATTCAACCAAAAGTTTTATGTCAAAAATAAAATATTACTCGGTACAAGCTTTATTATTATTTTGTTACATAGAGAGGGAAACATGATAGGCCACCCAAAAAAAACGAAAAAAATTCTATCCACGACCTTTCTTATACGTAAATGTTCTTATATGAGACTTTTAAAATCAAATCAATCCAAGTCCACGACTCATAAGAGTGAAATGATTCAAAAAATGGGGTTCGGGGAATCCAAATGAAATTCCGGCCACAGCTTCACACTAAGGTCCTCAACTGTATGTTTAATGTATTTCTCTTGCTGATTCTCTTTCCCTAAATGACTTCTGAACCGCTCTAAAAAGGAGCTGTAAGCCGTAATTAGCTTCTCTGATATAGAATGGCGAAGCTTATTTCGGATCTGTTGGTTTGGTACCACCCATTTGGCTTGATTCTGATAAATCTCCTCTAACGTAGCATTGAAGGACTTGAACCTCTCTCTCAACGCGCTCTTAGACACCTTCAAAGAAGGACCAGGACTCGCATATAGTCCTTCATCTCTCAGACAATAGACGAGCCTTTCCCATGTTGATCCCATATAGGCGTTCATTAGGAGCTGGACATTTTCGATCAACGTCTTCAGATAATCGTCCCCAACCATGTCTCTCAAATCCGGGTCCTCTTTGATGTTTTGGACAATGTAGTGAACATTGTTCATCATGAATAATTGAGCCAAAGAGGGGTTGTCGTAGCGCTTAGATTTAGCCTCCAATTTGAATTGTAAAATTTCAACAATCCAAATTAAATGTACCACCAATGGAGTAGTACTAGTACGCCCGTCAAGTTGAGCAAGTTTGGCATCCGGAATTGTCACAGCGTCACCACAATTCCTCCCAAATTCGGGCTTTGATACGATTAATTTAGTCAGCCCTTCATTGTAATAAGCGATCTGAGTAATAAATCTCACAACATATGTTGTCAAGTTGTCAATCCCACCACTCTGATCCTGAAAATGAGACTGCGCACGAAGCATGTCACTTTCAAATTGCGGTAGAATCTCTCTGGCAGCTTTGGCAAGCTGCCACAGCATCTCAGTAGCCTGAATTCCAACAGATTCTAACGATTCCGACCTAAAAATAATCTCCACATCTTTCAGAAGCTTCAGCAACATTTCGTGGAGGTCTAAGATCCTGAACAGCTTCTCGGGTCGGCGTGATCTGTCGCTGGTGCAGATGCTTAATGCTTTCCCCGCCTCAAACAATTGAAATGCAGGATCTTTAACCGTCTCCGCGAAACAGTCGTCGTCAATTGCATTTCCAAGGCCTCCAAAGACACGCTTACAGAGTCTCTCTTCGCTCGCAAAGAGAACACTAACACAAATCTTAGCAGCCTGTGTCCACTGTCTGATCTTATTCTCCAACGCTTCCCACTCCAAACTGCGGATGTCGTTCATACTCAATCTTTGAATGCCGAGTTTCCGGAGACTTGTTTCCAAGAACGTCTTCCTTACACTCTGGTACGCGTCGACGCACTTCTCAAGATGTCCGGCGGAGTTCAATATCTCAGCGATTCTGTGGAGATCATCCTTTTTCTCCATGTTCAAATTAAAAAAATTACAGTCGTCGTAGCTAGGAGCACTATCGGTTATGGAATATGAGCTCGTGTAAGACTTGGACTTACTTGGGTTGGTGTCGGTTGGAGTGGTGAGGCTGATTAAGACGACTCGAAATTGGTTTTCATGCTGTGCAATATCGGCAATCTGGATGGGGCTGCTCGATTTGCTCTGATCGTCTGAGTGTTGGGATTTATATACCCTGGCATAGCAAATTCCTATCTGGATTGTATTGACATATGTTCCTGACATATCTGAAATATTTATGATTTATATAATTGGTGAATTCAATGTATTATGTTTCGATTCACTATGAAATTGATAGTGTCCAGTTAATTACAAGAAATATTTATATATATGTATGTGATGACAATCAATGCATGATATATAAATAGTAATTATAAATTGTTCATAGTCGGTAATTATGGATGGACTCATAATTAATTAAGACTTGAACTGGATCCGCGTTAGGTTGAGATATATTGCGAGAGCCGTCGTATGCAATTACTCCCTATCACCGTCATGGCATTTGACTCTTAAGCATGAGAAAAATATAGACTCTTTTATTAATTAATAATTACTTTGATTTGTTCGGCGGATTCTTCGGGATCCTTAGACCGACACTTTGGGTAGTTATGTAATTAATAGTTAGAGGATTATATTTTCAATATTTGCATCATTGCTACTTGTATTTATTTTGTATTGATTATGGTTGATCACAAAGTAAATTCGAAGGCCTTCGTGTGTTTTTAGACAAAATGATTTATTATATATTTATTTATTTAAATTATTATTTTTGTCACACAAATGTTTTATTGTGATCGAGCCAGAAATAATCAAAGGTACCAAAATAAATATATTAATTAAGTAGTCGGATTGATGGCTATATTTATCCGATAACTAATTATGCATAGAGGGGTCAAAGTGCAATATTGACTTAGAGGTTATTTATTATTTAATTGGAGTTCAATTAATTTCTTTTAGTGGAGTAGAAATTAATTTATGAATTAATTGAATTGGGTCCATGGACCGGGCCAATTATTAATTCATTGTAGCCAATAAAATAATAGGCCCAATGGATTCTCACTCATAGCCCAACTTGATATTGGAATCATATTAGATTTGAGACATATGAATTAGAGATGGAGAAGGATTTGTTGTTTCCTTTTCTTTATTTTTATGTTGCTTATAAATATACATGGTCTATGTATATTTTAGAGGGTGATTTTTATGAGAAGGAAAAAGGAATAAATTTTCTCTCTCTAGAAAATTAGGGTTTATGTTCTCATCTAATGGAGGCTCCCACAAGCCTAGTTATCCAAGGTCATTCATGGAGGCATATGAGTGATTCCTAAAGGCAAAACAATTACCAAGAAGATGGAGATCCAAGGAGAATGCATATAGCAAAAGGGATCTACAATAAGTGAGAACATTCACTTTAGAGGAGAGATCTGAGGTTTACTCAAACCTTGATGTAAGTATTCAATCTTTTAGTTGAATAATACATCATATTTTATTTTATTTTTTGCATAAAACTTGTCTCTATGTGATGAATCAAGATCTATGAATTTAAATCCCTCGAAAAGTTTTTAAAACTAGCACGTTTCCCAACAGTGGTATCAGAGCATGGTTTGATTCATTACTAGAGATCATGATTTTATGAAAATCATCATTCATGGATCCAAAATTATATTCATATATATACTTTTATTAATGTATGTTGATGTATGATTTAATATGTTGATATATTTTGATACATAATGATGTATGAATAATTGTGAATGAATGATGATGTATGGTTGGGCCATGGATGAAGCTTATAGGTTAAATTAATGTAATTTTATCTTTGGATGAATGTAATTAAGGCTTTGATTTAGCCGTTTGAAAGTTCAATGATGTAATTTATTTTTTCCATTGTATTTCAAGTTGTAAATATTTTTAAAGCCATGTAATATTCATCAAAGGATGCTATGAAGCTTCAAGAAGGTCCAAGAGGGTTAAATTAGGCTTCAGAAATTTTCTGGGATTTTTTAGCAATTTTTCAGAATTTTTCTGGAATTTTTTAAGGCCTAATTTAATTTCTGGAAATTTTTATTAATTTTTCTGGATTTTTCGGCGTTTTTCCGGTGGCCGGAGCATCACCGGCGGCGAGAAGAGACGTTGGAGGAGGCTAGAATCAGGTGTGGCAGCGGTGGGGTGAGCCTGGCGCGTGAGGAACACGCGCCAGGAGGTGACATATGCTGGCGCGTGCATTGCACGCGCCAGCCAAGTGTGTATGGCCTCCACGCACGTGCAGGCGCGTGGAGGCGCGTCCCACGCATCCCACATGCGTGCCAGCGCGTGGGGGCGCGTCCCACGCGCCCCAGGCGCGTGCCAGCGCGTGGGGGCGCGTGGCTTCACCTGCAGCATGCCCCAGGCGCGTGTGAGCGCGTGTGGGGCCCTCCAGTCGCGTTCCAAGCAGTGTTTTGCTTCTCCTAGCGCGTATCAACCTCCTGCGGGTGTTTGCAAGCTGATGGAAGATCCTCGCGCAATACTTAGAGTAATTAAATGTTAAAAGCTGAATCCATTGGCCATTTAATTTGCTTTATCTGTCATTTATTGTTGTATGTGATGTATGAAATAATTAATTGCTAATTATTATTGTTCATGCATTGGATCCATGATATTTATTTAAATGGCTTGATTTATATTAATTAAATTATGAAAATTAATTGAATTAGATTACTAATTAATTAGAGGGCACTTATTGGGAAACGAAAAATTATTTTTATAAATTATTTTTGAAGTGTGCCTCAAGTTAAATATTAGTGAATCGTTTAAAGTCTAAATATTTTCTAAATTTAATTGGATTAAAATCAAGACGTTTTGCATGCATTATATCATGTAAATGAATAAAATGAAAACCCTAATTATGAATGATTAAAAATTGAGTGGGAGCGGGAATTTTTATACATTGCTCCATGGCCTTTGTTATTAACACCATTGTAATTAGATCTTCAAAAATAAGGCCCCACGCATGATTTGAAGAGTCTTAATATTACAAGAATGGTTGTCTCATGAAAATACAAATATTAAATGTTCATTGTAATTAGATCTTTAAAAATAAGGCCCTACGCATGATTTAAAGAGTCTAGATTATAATGACAACATATTTAATGTTTAATTTTTCGTTAGAGTTTTAATAACGTTATACACTCAATCTAAAATCAATAGTGTTAGCTTCCCAACGAAGTGGTCTATACTAGGTGATTTTAGAAAGGCTAAATTAAATCGGGAATCATTTCATTTGATAGACAAGGCATTGTCTTAAGAGATATAGAAATGATGGGATTTGCCCGTCAATAGCAATAATGAACTTCGCCAACCGAATAAGTTATTGGTGTATTGGTTATCCGATTTTTCATGTAGTGGTTAAGGGACCCACATACTATTTTAATGGAAGTGCTCACCTAATAGTAAATGAATCTCAACAATAGTAATAATGAACTCCTCCAACAGGATAAGTTATTGACATATTGATTGGTTGATTTATTATGCTTTGAGGGACCTGCATTAATTAAAAGGGATTGTTCATCAATAATGATAATGATCTCTTGTTCGATTGAGATTTATTATATTATGTGGTTAACAAACTCATTTTAATTTTAAATATGCATGACAGAATTAATAATTCACCTTGCATGTTGTATGAATGCATTTATATTCAGATTAATTATGTCTAATCCAGTTTATCTGCTTGCTTACATATTCTATGATATTGGACCTTATTTATAATGACTGGAAAATGAACTTAGATATTTTATTCACAATGTAAGGGTACAAATGTGTTTATTACTCCTATACCTATCTCTTTTACTTTGAGATACCAAATTTGACATTAATGCTTTTAATAAATTAGATAAGGCAAATGATATGACTTGGTGCAATATTCTAGAGTTTAGCTCGAATATACTCCTAAGCTAACATTTGTATTATTTTATTTTCTTCAAGCATCATGTTAATTGTCAATAAAATGTTTTGGTGAGATTAGATAGAGAGTATGCCAAAGTACTATGTCAGACTTGAATAGCATCAAGATAGCCTAAGGAACTCCAGTATGAAATCGAATTTTGAACAATGATTGTTTATTATTTAAAATTAGCTGGAGATCAATAGGGCTGACTTGGGTGGTAAGTTTCAAGTTAACATGATTATTGCCTTGTTACCAAACTCGTTCGACTCTGTTAGAGTGAATTAAATAAAGAATCAGTTTGAGTTCACACTCGCTGATATTCTTATAGAATTGGTAACAGATGAAGGGATAATCAAGAGTATGGGCGTTCCTATCAATCTAACCTAGTCTATACCATCTTCTTCTAGGCCCAAGTGGACGGGCAAAGCAAAGAAGAAGGATGATAATAGGACTAGACTAGCACAAAACATGGGTATTCAAAAAGGTTAAAGGGAATAAGGCAGTGTAGGTTGAGGGCGAAGAAACCTGTTTCTTTTGTCGCTAACTAAAACACTAAAGGACGAACTGTTTAGGCAATGACGTGGCATAGGAAAATATATATTTAATCATTGAGCCATGTTATGTGGTTGCGTCTATTAATTCCTGATGGATAGATTCTGGAGCCACTAAACATGTTTGCAATTTATTGTAAGGATTTCAGGAATCCAGAAGCCTTGATGATATGGATATATATTTATCTTTTGACCTGATGCCAAGGTTGTAGTTAAGTCAGTGGGAGTATTACATCTGAAATTAGAGAGTATGAGGATATTAGTATTAGAGAACTATCTTTATGCACAGAAGTGAAACACAATCTCATTCTTATTTCACTTTTGGTTTATAAAAACTGTGTTGTTATTTTGTAAAACTGGTTTTATAAAATTGAAGAGATATGCGATTGCTTCTGGTGCATTGAAAGATGGTTAATATACTATAATCACAAACTCTTAAGATTTGCAGGATGTAGAAACTAATGTTGCATCTTCTAGATTGA